TACAGTCTCCTACCCTATTTCCTCAAACAGGATGCTTGTAACTTCTGTTGACGACACAGTGAGGTACCAGAAAATGAATGTCTGTTTTTCTCTAGGACACTAAAGTTCCCTGCACAGAAATGAGTCATTTCAGGGATCAATAGGTCTAAGGTGCAGTGTAGTGAGTTGGAAAGAGTCTGGGGTAGGAGTCAATAAATCTATAATTTTTATCTCTAACCTCTTCCACTTGGTATAATGTTATGAGGGTTTGCTTCTGGAGTCAGACAGGCCTTCCTGGCAGTATTACACTGGGCAAGTTACTTGGCAACTCTGGGCCTCAGATTCACCATTTGTAGAACAGAATTCTGTAGGCAGGTGGGAATATCTCCGTCCAGTTCTAAGCAGAGACTCTGTCTAACTGTCCCCAGGAAGTGGAGCAGTTAGTTGGTCAGCTCCCTATTGATACCTCAAGAAGCCTTTGATGATACCCACGCTATTAGTGCAGAAGTTCACAGTTACCTGTTTGAAGGTTCATCATCAGACCTTTCAGAGAACATGGCAAATCTTTGTTTAAGCTAAGAATTTCAAGAAACCACCACATAGAGATAACAGCAAGGGTACAGATATCAGCTCACACCTAAAAAGTGGCTTGACAGTCTAAATTCACCTGGGGTTAATACGTGAAAAAAAATCAACTTGCTCAAGGTGGGCAATTGTTGTCAATAAAGATTGCTAAACCTCTAGATTTTTTTTTTTTTTTTTAGGTAGGGGATATTCCCCCCCCTTCATTGGAATCTTTGATTTATTCTTCAGGATTAAAGAAGCAGCTATGTCCTAATGTTCATTCAATTTTAGGATAGCCACAAAGGTTTCATGAATGTGAAATGTTAGTTAACACAAATATGAAATGGATCCGTGATGAGGATACTGGGTACATGATATAACAAAGTCCCAAAGGCATTTCACCTGGGACCTAAGCTTTCCTTCTAGAACATCAGCAAACAGTTCAAAATTAATGTAGCACACTATGCAATTTGCCATATAAACACACCAGCCTGATCATTTTTTCCCCTCATTATATAAAACCTAATTAGTTAAAGGGCAATTCAAATGAAACTTTTATTTGGGGGATTTAGAAGTATTAAAGCAATGGGAAAAACAAACAAACACTGAGGCTCTCTGGATAGCATGAACACGATTACTAATAACCCTTGGGTGGGGAAATGATTAACCTTGTTATTTTCCTCACGATCCAGGTTTCTACAGTAAATCTGTACTGAACAAAAATATTTGGATGCTGTATGGAAAACAACTTTTACAAGGTCTCCGACTGGCGTCAAATGTTTTCAAGTATGAAAACATCTCTGGGCTTTCTCAACAGGCTGATGGATCCCTGCAGGTAGCACTTCCTTTGTTTAATAGTCCTGCCAATTAAATCAAATTAGAGATGAATTTTTAACTCTGTGATGAAGGCAGTGCTCATTAGAAGAGAACACAGGAAAATAGAATATTTCCCTTAAGTGAACTATTGTTTCAAATTGAATTAAGTTGGAGAGGAGGGACAGCCACACAGCTCCATCAATCTTCTATGCTTTATATACCATCATGTCAGTTAGCTCAAAGTATTTAAGGAAATAATATAGAGTTGAGTCCACAAAATGTTTACATCTCTCTTTTCTTTTGTTGCTATTCTAAGAAACGTTTCTATTTATTTAAACTTTTCAAGTTTTTTGAAATGGACTTTCTTGATGCGATCTTTCCTTTCAGTGGATGGTCTACCTTTAACCTCTGGCTCATCTGTCATCTGCTTTTTTAAGTGAAAATCACCCACACGAAGCTATTTGCGCATTAGGCTAATTCTTGCTGTTCTAAATATATTCTTTATAATATACTGTTTAACATAATTAGTGAAATCATTTGCTTTTCAGGACTAAGGATTAGATAATATATGTTAGAAGGTAATGATTAGTTTATTGCTGTAACAAAAACACCCACATCAAACCAACTACTAATTTGAATCCTCAGCATCAACAAATGTTCACTTGGATAAAATTGTGTTTACTTGTAATACATTTTATTTAAAAAAATGAAACCTGAATGAATTACTACCTCATCAGGTAAAGTAAAAACAGAGATCATAAGGCTCAAGTGGCTACAGATCTATTTTGGGATTCATTAATTGCTGACAATATCACCAGTATTTTTCAGCCATGGCCAAAGCACATCAAAATGACCGAGTTTTAAATCAAGTACCTTTGGGATGATTGGGAAACCTATTTGCTAATAGATAGACAACAGCAGGTACAAATAACCGTAATGGGAAATTTGTTTCAAAAACATTTTTAGCAGATGATCGGAAAGGATGATCACTCTGTCCATGCATTTGAACTTTAATCAGGCATTGACAGTTTGAGATTTATACTGAAATCTATTAGGGCCCCAAAATCTTTAGTCATGGTGTATATAGCGTATGTATGTGAACTTATGGTTACATACATCAATAATTTACATCGATAATATACATCATTCATTTTCCTTAAGATATGCTTTGATGATGGGAGTCTCATGGGTGTTACATCTGTTATAATGGCATCTTCCTATATACTTGGTGGAACTACATTCGTTGATTCCTTCTTTGGGATAAAAGGAACAGTCCTGGCAAACACTTAAATTTAGTTAAAAATCCAAGCAGCTCCCTCTTCTCTGGCTTGTACCTTGGAAACCCAATTCCTGTGCCCTCTAGAATAGGCAGTGAGTCACATATGTGTGAATTCTTGCCCTTTGGAGAGGAAAGGAATCCACCAGTGCACACAATGAGCACCTTATGAGCCCATAAAGAAGGAACGTGTGAGTGCCATGAAAGCAACCTAGAAGATACAACCATGTATGATGGTTTTATCCTAAGTCTCTTGACCTTAAAGCCAGGCAATAGGCAAGCTAGTCATGTGTGATGTTGGATGTCCCCTGGAAGCTCTTACATCATCCCGTTTGCTGGAGAAATCTGAGGAAACACCCCCTGCACTCCAAGCAGAACAGCCAGAGGTGTAATGAAGGCAAGGTGTAAACTATCACTTTATTTGTTAGAGGGTCTGCTTAGGTTATTGGTATTAGGAGCTAAATTTTCCTAGGTTTCTGATAATAAAGGTTAGTACATTTTCCAAAGGCACAACAAAGCATCCTTTCAGGTCACCACTGATTTCAAAAGAAAACAAAGCAAAACAAAACTGGAATTTCCCGATTCAGTGTGTAAAAGGTCGACATCTGCTGATGCTCAGAGATGCGGCATGTGGTGGAGACGGCCGGATGGGATGTCGGGTGGGCAGTACAGTCAGAGTCCATGCAACACACGACTGACACTCCGAACAGGAACGCAACCCAGCGCCAAAGAACTACTTTCCGTCCATCCATTTCTGAGACTTTTGACAGGCCAGATCGCCATAGCAGCCTCAATAATCTGTCTCAGCTCGCTGCCATTTGGTTCCGTTTTGCTCTAAAATGCATGTGCAAATATGATTGTCAAGGCCTGGAAGGAGCACATTGTGGGTTATATATACAGTTAGGCAAATGCCCACGGAGATACTAAAGCAGAAAAATTAGACTATTATTGCTGAAGGTTTTCACTTGCAATTTCATAGCACTGATGCCTTTTCAACAAGATCACAAAGAGGATGCTGTAGCATCAGGCTGGTATCTAAATGGATGTGAACACTACTTCTACTTACAAAGCGGCCGATTTTCATGGCATTTAACATGTCTAGTGCTTAACAAATCCGTGTTCAGGCCGATTCACAAGCTTAAGTAAACTGGGTTGATTTATAAATTGGAAGACCTGACTGTGCATTTATAAGAAGCAAGCAGTTGTTTTATCCAAATTATCAGAGTATTGCTTTTTAGATGGATGTTGGTATTGCAATGCTTCAGCTGCTGCTGTTTATACTGCAATGGCTCTGCGTGGCGCATCACCTATGGCGAAGCCTCTGAGGCCTGAGACCACAGTGAAAATTCTTCTCTTCGCTTACAGTGCATAATCTCGGCTTCCTCAGTACTTTATTTTGAATCAGTTATACAGCAGTTGTTCAAAGGTTTTAGCCATCGGAGAAAAAGGGTGCAATATATAAAAAATATGTGAGATTCTGCTCTTAAAAGTTATGGAGCATTTCCTTAATGAGGATTTCAGGCTTCCCGTTGGAGTGCCATTGTTTTATACGTAAAGAGGGAGCTACAGTCTGGTTCTCCCATGATAGCTAGGAGAATGCTCTTTGCAGAAGTCCTGGAGAAGTGTTCCACAGAGGGCTGAAAAGGGATTTCTTTTCCAATTGCTTATATTTCCACTAAAAGATTTCTTGCAGGGATTTCTAGTGGCCCTACTCCTAAATTCTGCATGTATTTTTTATGCCCCTTCCCTTTCAAACTTAAAACTAAGTAGTCAGGAAAACATGGATCACTGTATTATAGGAGGGAGAAATGAACATATTGATTATTTTTTTCCTTCATTCCTCTGGAAAGATGAATGATCACAAACCTGTCTCTTTCAGGCCTTCACAAAGACTAAAGTTTAATGCATTAATAAAATTCCCTCTCCCAGGTTTCATGGCGTTTTCCTTGGGTTCTAATGAATATGCCTAAAGCATTCATTGGCATTCCTTCTCCGTTTTTCTAAATTATGGTAGAAATCCATATCGTCCTAGGGAGAGAGTTCAATTTGTTTGTTGGTTACTAAGTATGCGTAAACAGGACAGTTTATATTTTTGCTAAATGAGCTATGGTTACCTGAGTAATTGTACCTCTGTAAAGGTAGCCTTCATTGACCAAAAGCACACAGGAAAGCTGCGGCATTGCCACATCCACAGAGGAGTTATACACAGATAACTATTTTATCTGTGCAGAGAACAAACACAACAATTCAATTCACGAAGAAAATACTCTCTGACATCAGAAATGGACACTGGGAAAACAGATCTGAGGAGCTGAACAACAATGCAAAGCTAGCCTAGACTTAGTTTGGTGATTGTTTTACTTACTACCAATACTGGAAATACTGGGGATACCTGGAGGGAAAGAACACAATAAAAAAGAGCTGTTAGACATTTATCAGTGCACAACATCTTTAACTTAATATAAAAATCCTAATATAAAACTTGATAACAATCAGATCATTAGGAAATAAGCACAGAAAAAAACAAAATATATATCCATCCATCGAAACCACTTTGCTTTCATTTTAGAACTCCTGAATCCATCAGAGTCGGGAAATTAATGCTCAACTTCAACAGCTGGTTCAAAACAGCTTCATGACATCAACCATTCTGTGCTTGCCTATAAGGTTAGTTAACATTTGTAAGTGGTTCAAAATAGATATCATTAGGCTTATGTTCTGGGCACAGAGTACCAAATTTACACTATGTGGACCGTACAAATGTATCCACATATGCAACAGATCTCTTTAAATATGCTGTGAGATGCATGTGTTAGCTGTTGAAAATCATTTGGCACTTTATTTGATTAATTTCACATAACCATCATTTTTATTCCTCTTTTACTTGTCAGATATGTGGATTAAACTCTGTAATAGAAACTTAATTGAGCAGAATAATTCAAGAATACATTAGGTTGTTCACATTAATCATGGACTGCATTGATTTTTTGGCTTCCACTTTAATTTACAAGTTATGCTAAGGTGGTGGAACCATTTCAGAATGCAACTTGACTTGGTATAAATGTGGACATGAATTTAGTCTGTACCCAGATGAAAACTTCTACCCAAGATCAAGGAGCCAAGCTATCTGGGTTTGAAGCTTTGCTGTTACTTTCATGGACAGTGTGACCTTGGGGCAAGTTGCTTATGCTCTCAGTGGCTCAGTTTTCTACCTCTTAGGCTTGTTGCAAGGATTACATAAATTCATATATGTAAAGCACTCAAAGCATTGCTTGGCAGGTAGTATGTGCTATATCTGTCTTTGCTGTGATTACTATTATTGATGTGGTTGGTTCATCAAGCAAGCAACAGCATGATAGACATTGCTAATTAAAAGTCAGAGATTTATATCTACTCCGCTACTCCAGGGGTAGTGGTGTGGGTGAGAGCACAGGATGGGAATCAAACAGAACTGAGTAAGAGTCCTGCTATGCAACTGACTAGTGGGGTAACTTCAGGCAAGTTTCCAGCCTCCTTATGCCTGTTTCGTCATCTGACAAGGGGCTAATAATTTCTACCGCATCGGGCTGCTGTGAGGATCGAATGAGATAATCCATAAAAATGTCTGACACATGGTACATAGACAATAAATGATAGCTGTTAATGAGCTGTACAGACTTATTCTCCACATCTCTGAAGTGCACTAACAGGTGGTAAATGCAGGAATCATTAAACTTCTATTTTAGTATTTATCTTTGAATAACTGCCCTCTGCTTATGTTAACTAATTGTTGTAACTTCCTCAGAGATTTCTAGCTTTGTGTGCTTTAAAACCAAGAGCTATTTTCCCATTTCTTAGTAAGGAGGGAAGAAGGAGGAGTTAAAGCTTTCCATGATTTTTTAAAAACCGCGGAAGGAATGAAATCTTATTTTCAGTTATTAGACACATTCAGAATCTCTTGATTTTAAATGCACAGAGTTTATGTGCTTCAGCTATATCAGTGATCACTGATCAAGCAAAAGTGGAAACCTAAATTTTCATTTCCGTGTTTTAACTCCGCTCTGTGAACTGAATTTCAAGCCGAATGCGATTTCTGCAAAGAACTGCTGATTTCCTGACCCAACACTTCAGAAGACCATCTTTGCCACAGCATGACAGTGACTTGCTACTGAATCTGTATTTTTTTTTTCCTTTGCAAATTCCCTGTTGAGTGAGGTACAATGGCAGCGTCATAATGTTAGTATCAATTGCATGAGCTCCAAATTTCCCCAAGCTTGAAAATCCTGCTCCACTGCAAGGAACTGCTTATCTTTTGTAATTCATCAAAGAGAATAGAAGTTGGGATGGCAAGAAGAGACTTTTCATGTGTTTTCAAACTAACGTGGAGTTAGAGACCCATGCGTAATGCAGGGAGACGTTCTCAGGGTGTCTGGCCAGACACAATGCAGAGCAAGGCAGCAAGACTATTTGATGCGGTGCTTGCTGTAGTCAACTACTTTAGAAAGATGCAGACATGTTTCTATTCCTTTGGGGATGCCAGCGTAGGGGAGAAATGCTCATCGCAGCTATACAAACCTTGCCAAGCAAGACCATTTTGAGATCCTATTTTCCCCGTGAAGATGTTTTCTATTACCTAACATTTGGATGCTTAGAATTCAGGCTATTCCTCATTTTGAGGCTTACAATTTTTTCAGGTGTCGCCGGGTGAGTCACTTTCTATTGCATTGCTGTAAAATGGGAATTTCTTAGAAAAGATTTTTAAACTGCTCATTGGAATAAAGATTTTTGAGGTTGAAAATATCTGAACACCAAGAGATGTCTATTTTCATTTGTCATTTTTTCCCTATTGTTTCTTATTGTAACAGCCAAATATCTTGCTTTTGGTTCTCTACAGACAACTAAAGAATTTAATAAACCCATTATGCCCATTAAAAAGGCTATGAGTAAGTCATAAGAAATCTTTCAAATGCTTAAGGAAATAAGACAGGAAGGCAACAATTCATGTCATGAAAGGTGAGTTTCTTCGTGGTCTGTAAGGGATGAATCTGATTCCAATGAATGTGATTCCATCTTACAGTGATAATGCCCAAAAGCCACAGGAATGAGAGTCAGATTATGTTCAGGAAAACTGCCTGGGCACATGGCAGTTTTTTAACGTTCGCTGTGAAGTGACAACTATTGTGGAAAGAATATTTTTACCCTTAAAATTGAGTGCAGAAGTTATTTCTTCCCTTCCCCTCCACCTCCCTCATGTGAATTAGCCACTCTCTCCTTTGTGATGGCACACGTCTTTGTAAGGCCTCCACGAGCAACTCATCAACTTTTTCTTATGATTGTTTGTGTGTTTGTCTGAGAGTTCTAAGGGGACAAGCACCATGCCTTGTTCCTTCTGTATCTCTAGTATCTGCCCGAGACAATGCCCAATACAGAAGAGTTGCTCAATGTATATTTGAGCAAAACTTTACCACTTGTTTCCAAGAAGGTTTCTATCATAGAGAAAATACCACTTTTGGTGATAATATGATCTTGTCCCCTATGAAATATTCCACTTAGACATTTCTCAGAGTTCAGTATTAATGAATGTTTTTGCTCTCTTTGGACATTTCCTCCATTCTGATAGCAAGAGCTATAGGATGGACAGATGCCCCTCATCATTGTGCCTTCCAGGAAACTCAGAGGCTCAGCGCTCAACTTGATGCTCAACTGGGTAAACATTTGATGTTCAGCTTATTTTTTTTTTCTATCCTTTTTCTCGCATCTTCCTTTTAAATTCCTATTTGGATACTCTTACTTGCATTTGTCTTTTTTCCTAAGCCACCCAGGGGCAAATACAGATTTTGTGGGGCCTAAAGCATGTACAAATCTGAGCGCTTTCTTTAAGCAAAAGAATATTAACATTAAACTATGAATAGATATGAAATTTAATTCTTTTTTTTTTTTTAGAAAGAGTCTAGTGAGGGACTCTGAAATTTAAGCTTCATTAGCTTAAATCCACCTTTGAAACAACCTCAAAAATACTTGGGAAAGATAAATAGATGATAGGTAGATAGAAAGGAAGGAAGAAAAGGAAGGAAGATAACCAGATAGCTAATTCAGAAACAGTGATAAAAAGTTAAGAGCTGAAACGGAGTTAAGAAATAATCTTAGTCAGCCCTTTCATTTTACAGAAGAGGAAACTGAAGGCACAAAGAGAAGCAGTTGCCTTGTCCAAGTCGACCTCTTCTTAGCGTGTAATTCCTAACCCCTGTCTACCAAGACCTTGTTAAACTTGCACTGAGGAAATGAAGCACAGGCACGCATGAGTTTTAAGGGAAGGTTCCACAGTACCTGATATATGATTTTAGTGCTATTGCTTCTTCTAGAATAGAAATGCTGCTTCAGTCAGAGATACACATACACGTTGAGTAAGCCCAAGGGCTCCCTGTGCCAGAAGGATGAGAAGGGGTTCAGCTTGTAGCCACTTATGCAGTTACTCCCTCCTCAACCAGCCCTCCCCACTCCCATATTTATTTTAATGTTTGTTTTAAAGGAATTCTGCTGCAATTAGGGGGATGAGAACCTAGTAGAATTATATAATGTGTTATTTTTTTCTTCTTCTTCTCCTTTTTTTTTCAATTTTACTAAACCTTCCACCAAGAAATGGCCACAGGGGACATAGTTAGGCTCCAGGAAGTCAACATGATAGAGATCTCAAAAATAAACACCCTGATCTTCCAAAGCAGATTAATGCAGTGCTAAAAGCCATAATTCCTCTTGAGAATCAATGGAAAGTTCAGCAGCTTTTCATGAAGAGGGAAGCAGAAGAGACAAGGATTTGGAATGCTTCAAATTGAGAGGAAGTTTTACCACTATTGTGAAAGATGGTTGGAAAAAAGCCCATCAAGTAGGTGACTAGTTCTTCTAGTCAGGCTGCAGCCATTGGGAGGTCTGACTCCCAAAAGCCCAGTTGAAGAAGAGGTAGGTGATGAGCAAGAAAACTTTCTGCAGCCTCATTTGTATCCCAGAAGAATTACTTCTCAACGTCCTTCCAGCCCTGGTCCCTGGTTCAAACTGCTGTTGATAGGAAGTACAGTGAGTTGTCTCCCAGGGACTCGAAAGTGAAGGAAATAAGATTACCTTCACAGAATTATACCGTGAAGTCATCATATAAACGATCCAAGCAGAGATAACTAAAGTCATCTATAGCAACAGAACAGCTCTGGGACCTCCGTGTACGTGGCAGAGTTGACAGAGGCGACATTAACCTGACTTAGCGTATTTACATATCTGAAGAATGGAAGAACGGCAAATTGGAAGGTAGAAGCCTAGAAAGAGGAGCATCCTGAGGCCTGTGGTGGCAGTGCTGTCCCAGCATTGTCAGGAAGAGGGAGAGGTAACCTGTAAGCTTTCAGATCTTCAGTGTTCTGGTGGCAT